TGGAGCCGAGAACAGAGGACGAGCGAGTAGCTCGCCACGAGACAGAGCCGGAACCAAGACTGAAGGTGTAACCCTGCGACGACCGCTGCGTAGCCTGGTCGTCAGCCCAAGAAGCGTCCGCGTGCCCAGTGAGGACCACTGGACTCCGCCCTCCAAGCACTAGTCCCATGCCCGACGTACTGCACAAGTATCGCAACACCCTCTTCGCTGCAGCCATGTGCTCTGGTCGGTGTCTCCCAGGAGCAACATAGCGTGCAAGAATGCTAAGAGGGTATGCAAGGTCAGGTCGTGTGCAGGTCATCAGGTACATGAGGCAGCCAACAAGCTCTGGATACGGGCCACTCGACTCTACTGACTCATCCGAAGGCAGAGCTGAGAGTGAGTGGCGAGTAGGCAGAGGAGTGGCCTGAGGCGAGGAGTACGTGAAGCCGAAGCGCTGAAGGACCTGCTGCACCATGTGTGACTGAGTCAGGGTAATGGTGCGGCGTGCTCTGTCCCGGGTGATCTGCAAGCCAAGGTAGCTGCGCAGTTCACCCAGGTCTGTGCACGTGTGTCTCTTCTGCAGCTCGGACTTCACGTGGGCGAGTCCAGCAGTGTCAGCTGTGGCAAAGACCAAGTCGTCGACGTACACGAGGATGTAGAATGGCGGCAGAGAGGTGTCGGTGCGTAGAAACAGCGACGGGTCGGCAGTAGAAGGAGCAAACCCAAGAGCCGCAAGCGTAGTCCTCAGTGTGTCGTGCCACTCACGTGGCGCCTGGCGGAGACCGTAGACTGGACGCCGGAGACTCCACTGGGTACCAGGAGGGAAAGACCCAGTGAAGCCAAGTGGGCGGCGCAGCCAGATCTCCTCGTGCAGGCTGCCCTGCAAGAAAGCAGTGCTGAAGTCGAGAGAGTGCAGCTCGTAGTCACGGTGAGCAGCAACGTGTAGCAGCACCCGAAGAGTGGTCATCTTCGGGGTGGGGGAGAAGGTCTGAAAGTAGTCAACTCCCTGTCGCTGACTGAAGCCACGAGCCACGTAACGTGCCTTGAAGACAGGCGGAGAACCCGGCGGCCGCTTCACCCTGAAGATCCACATGCCACTGACGATGTTCGCCCCAAGAGGGAGGACAGCGTCAACGTAGGTGCCTGTGGACTTCCAGGAAGCCATCCCTGCATCCATAGCTGCCTGCCACTGAGAGGAGTAGGGACCCTCTATCGCCTCCGCGTAAGAGCGCGGAGTCGGGATGTCAAGTGCATCCGGGTCTCCCTTAGGGGTAAGCAGTACGGACACGAGATGAGGTGAAGTAGCTGCCAGACACTGGAACTCCTCCTGCCTGTCCTCAAGGACGTCCGTGCCAAGGGCACACTCACCCCCGACTGACGGAGGACAGGCAGACCCAGACTCAGCGACAAGACTAGCAGCGTAGTCTAGGCGACAGCGAGCAGCAAAGTCGACGAGCTCAGTAACTAGGGCAGACGCAGCAGTAGACTCGAAGGAAGGGTCAGTGACGACAGTAGCAAGGAGACGCGTGACAGTAGGACTGGCAGCACGAAGAGAGTCCGACGCAGGGTCGGGAAGAGCAGGAAGAGAGGACTCAGGAGGAGAAGGCAAAGGGGCACGCAGAGGAGCAGTAGACGGACGCAGAGACATCCTGTGCGTGCCAGGGACAGGAGGAGGACGCTGACGCGAACCACGACCACTAGCGCGAGCAGCACGGACAGGCGACGCAGGGCGAGACGCAGGCTCACGACGCTCAGTAAGACCTCCAGTAGGACCAGTGTAGGGAGAAGGAGCAGGCAAAGGGGAGGTAGGCTGTAGCAGTGACCGCGACGGGACAGGCTGTGGACCCTCCAAGAGAGGAGGAGGACCAGGAGAGGGCGGAAGACCAAGAACCTGCTGCAGGAGTGGAACGAAGTACGGTCGAGGCCGCGTAGCTACGCCAGAAACAGCAGGGACAGCACCAGTACCCCCAGCAGGAGCACCCGCTCCAGCAGCACCTCCAGTAGCTCCAGAACCTCGAGCAACACCAGGAGCACCCCCAGCAGGACCGCCAGTGGTAGTCTCAGCGCCAACACCCTCAGTAGCACCAGCTCCAGTCGAACCCGCAGGCCCAGCAGCTCCAGTACTCCCAGTACGAGCACCTCCGGGACCCGCAACAGCAGCACCCTCAGTAGCCGACGAACCTCCAGCACCAGCAGCACGGCTCCAGCGCCGGGCAAACCACTCGCGCAGCTCCTGTGGAGAGAGTGGCTCCCGGCGAGACAAAGCACGCGTAGAAACTCGAGGCGGAGGACCTCCAGGCGCAGCACTCCCAGGTCCAGCACCCCCAGGCAAAGCACCCCCAGGCGTAGCACCCCCACACTCAGCACCCCCAGGCTCAGCACCCCCAGGCTCAGCACCCCCAGGCTCAGCACCCCCAGGCTCAGCACCCCCAGACTCAGCACCCCCAGACTCAGCACCCCCAGGCTCAGCACCCCCAGGCCCAGCACCCCCAGGCCCAGCACCCCCAGGCTCAGCACCCCCAGCAGCACCAGAGTCACCAGTGACCTCGACAGGCTCGACTGCGTCTACCTGGGACACACCTGAAGGGGCAGGACCCTGAGGGGGGAGGGGGTCTACCGGGGGGGGACCTGGTACAAGGAAGAGCGGGGGCGGGGGGGGGGACGGAGTGCGGTAGGGGAAGAGGCGGTAGTAGGGTACCGACTCGTCGAACGTGACGTCCTGAGAGGACAGAACACGGCGAGAGGTGGGGTGGTAGAACTGCCACCCAGGCGCGTCTGGGGGGAACCCCAGGAAGACGCAAGGAGCAGCACGAGGGGACAGTTTGTCCGCAGACAAGTCGCGGACAAACGCCCGAGATCCCCAGACCCGGAACGCCGACGCATCGCCCACCTTCCCGGTCCACAGCAAGGCTGGGGAGGTCTCCGGCCTGGAGACCCTGGGGTGAAGGTTGATCTGACGTGCCGCGTACCTCACCGCAAACGGCCACAGAAAATGGGGGGCAGCCGCATGCATCATAGACGTACGAGCGACGTCCATGACCATGCCAATGCGGCGCTCAGCAATCCCATTTTGCTGCGGAGAGTCCGGGAGCGTGAAGGTCTGACGGATGCCTCGTGCACGACAGTAGGCTCGCAGAAGGCCAGAGGAGAACTCTCCGCCTCTGTCCGAGTGCAGACGCAGAACAGGAAAGTCGGAGCCAAAGCTCTGCCTGAGCTGGAGACGAGCTGCGCGGATCCAGTCGATCAGCACCTCAGTGACATCACCCTTGCCGCGCAAGGGGAAGACTGCGGTGTAACGCGAGTAGTCGTCAACAACGAGCAGGAAGTAGCGCTCGTGACCCTGCCCACGGACGCGGGCTGGGCCCCACACGTCCATGTGGAGCGTCTGCAACGGGGCCTCTGTCGGAGGAAACTGGGAGGAGTGAGGGGCAGCACGCTGGCGCCCCTCGACACAGGGGACACAGGTAGGGCCAGGGCCCTGAGGAAGGGGAGGGAGGGACCGGGGGAGACCAGACACTAGAAGACGGGAGGCCATGCCTCTGAGCCGAAGCAGAGAGGGGTGACCAAGACGGTGGTGCCAGAGAAGAGTCTCGTGAGACAGGAGACGACAAGAACAGGGGGCAGACTCAGGACCAGACCTGGACGCAGCAGCAAACACCTGACCCGACGAAGCGACTCTACCAGACTCAGTAACGGGAGGAGACGCAGTGGTCAGTGTGTACAGGCTCGACCCCGGCTGACGGGTAAACGTAGCCAGGTGTCGGCCTGTGCGAGCCTCTGTACAGTGCGTCACCCGCTGACGCGCAGGAGTGAACTGGTGTACACCCGCATCCTGTAGGTCAGCACCACTCACCAGGTTCGTAGAGAACGAGGGGAGGTAGAGACCAGACAGGGTGCCAGAGGGAGCCGCCGGACACGGGAGGACTGTGGAGAAGCGAGACAGGACAGGACCCCCAGAGGGGTCAGCCAGAGACACTGCAACCGGTCGACTCAGCGGTGTGAGTGTGGTGCGGTCCCTAAAGAAGGAGCGAGACGCCCCAGAGTCAAGGGTGAAGGTGAGGGAGGCCGAAGCCGACGTAGTACCTGAGAGCGCAGACTCACCAGTACCTGAGGACGCAGACACACGAGCACCTAGGGCAGCAGCGTCGCAAGCACCTAGGGCAGCAGCCTCACCAGGACCTAGAGCAGCAGTCTCAATACCCGGATCGGGCGGGAAACACCGGTAACAGTCACCCTCATCACTAATAGACACAGCATACATGGCAGAGAGAATAGCATCAAAGTCAAGATCATAGATGGCAACACCCGCCCTGGACAGGTCACCCCAACGAGGGATCTCTGAGGCCTCCGGGAACTGGTGACGCCACGCGTCCGTCAGGCGGCCAAAGCAGCGCTGAGTGGGGTGGGGACCCCCACACTGCTCACCCGCACGGTCGCCGGTGCGCAAAACGTAGGAGCACGGACCAAAACCCCCACCTCGCTGACGCGCAGTGTACCACTCACGAAGCTGCTGAGGGGACAAGGTGTCACGACCACGCTGCTGCTGCTGGCGCGAGCCACCACCGGAGCCACTCCTCTGCGAAGACCCGCGACCAGCACCACCTCCACCCCCGCCGCCTCCTCCGCCTCCGCCGCCTCCGCTACTGCCGCCGCCTCCACCTCCGCCTCCGCCGCCGCCACCTCCGCCACCCCCGCTCCCACTGCCACCGCCGCCGACACCTCCGCCTCCACTGCCGCCACCGACTCCTCCACCCCCACCTCCACTCCCACCGCCACCCCCACTCCCCCCACTGCCGCCACCTCCACCTCCACCGCCCCCGCTCGCTCCTCCAGCGCCCTTGCCCCCCTTGCCCTTGCCAGAGCGGCGTCTCCCACTAGGGGCAGACGCCACACCGACCGACTCAAGACCAAGGAGGTCGGCCGCAGCAGCAGAGGCAACAGAGGGCAGAAGGGGGGAGGGGGAACACCCCTCAAAGATGGGGGTGCGCGGGTCACCACGAGAGGCCCCTACAGCGACTATGCTCTTCTCGGCCGCTAGGAGGGACTTCTCGAGGAGGTCAACAGTGAGAGTGGTGGGACAGACAGAGAGAAAGTGGTCCCTGACTACGCGAAGGGAGTCAGGAAGGCGAGTGACTATGTAGTAAAGAGTGATGTACATGGGGGGGGGGTTCTTGGCGCAGAAGTCAGCAGGGAGTGCAGCGCGGTAGCGAGTGTCACTAGTGCGGAGGTGCGTAATGAGGTCAGCGACTGTGGGAAAGGCAGCAAGGTCAGGAAAGAGGTACGGTAGCATGAGACGGCTCAGTGCAGCAGTGGCAGGGGAGGAGTAGCGCGCAACTACAGCGTCGTACAAGGTCTGAGCACTCTTGTACTGACTAAAGTGTGCACGCTCGGAGGTAGGGAGGTGGCGACGCACAGCAAGACGTGCAGCAGCGTCGCGCGTGGCCCACTGGGAGCGAACAGTGGCGTCGGCGTCAGCAGCAGGGGCAGTGGAGGCGCCAGAGGTGAGGTCAAAGAGAGAGAGACCATCTGCCCTATCGCACTGTAAGAACAGCTGCAGGTCATCCACCCAGACCTCAAAGTCAATGGCCCGACCCTCAGCGTCAAAGACTAGAACACTAGGGGTAGCCATGACCCTAGACGACTGGCAGCGCAAACAGTAGGGTGAGGGCAGTGCAGTGAAAGGGCGCTGTGCTCACCAGACTGGACAGGTCGGGCGGCCCGGAAGGAGGGCGGCGCGGCGGCTCGGCGGCTCGGCTGCCGGGCGGCTCGGCGGCTCGGCGGCTCCGCTGCTGGGCGGCACGGCTGCTGGGCGGCTCGGCTGCTGGGCGGCTCGGCTGTTGAGCGGCTCGGCTGCTGGGCGGCTCGGCTGCTCTGCTGTCGGGCGGCTCGGTTGTGCTGCTGAGGGGCAGCACGGCTCGGGCTGCTCGGGCGGTGCGGGCGGCTCGGGCGGCTCGGGCGGCTCAGCTCCTCAGCGGCACAGGCGGCGTGGGGACCGAGACGGCGGCGCGCGGCTGGGACGGGCGGCGCACGGGCGGCGTGGGGCCGGGACTGCGGTGCGCGGCCGGGACGGGCGGCTCACGGGCGGCGTGGGGCCGGGACGGGCGGCGCGCGGGCGTCGAGGGGCCGGGACGGGCGGCGCGCGGGCGTCGAGGGGCCGGGACGGGCGGCGCGCGGGCGTCTAGGGGTCGGGCCGGGTGGCGCGCGGGCGTCTAGGGGCCGGGACGGGCGGCGCGTGGGCGTCGAGGGGCCGGGACGGGCGGCGCGCGGGCGTCTAGGGGCCGGGACGGGCGGCGCGCGGGCGTCTAGGGGCCGGGACGGGCGGCTCACGGGCGGCGAGGGGCCGGGACGGGCGGCGCGCGGGCGTCGAGGGGCCGGGACGGGCGGCGCGCGGGCGTCGAGGGGCCGGGACGGGCGGCGCGCGGGCGTCGAGGGGCCGGGACGGGCGGCGCGCGGGCGTCGAGGGGCCGGGACGGGCGGCGCGCGGGCGTCTAGGGGCCGGGACGGGCGGCGCGCGGGCGTCTAGGGGCCGGGACGGGCGGCGCGCGGGCGTCTAGGGGCCGGGACGGGCGGCGCGCGGGCGTCTAGGGGCCGGGCCGGGTGGCGCACGGGCGTCTAGGGGCCGGGACGGGCGGCGCGCGGGCGTCTAAGGGGCCGGGACGGGCGGCGCGCGGGCGTCTAAGGGCCGTGACGGGCGGCTAAAGGGGCCACTAGGGGCCAAGAGAGAGGGGAGCGCGACTCGGGTAGGGGCAGAGTGCGCTCCGGGCAGGAAAAAAAACGGTGGGCCCTAGGAACAGTTCCCACGAGGGAACCTGCTCGATACCATGAGAAGAATGAAGAACGAGGATGAATGAACTATGAATGAGGTGAGTACATATGGAAAACCCTAATTGGGTTGTACCCCCTATGGGATACCCCACTATAGCCTACACAACAGCATAAGCTATGTAATGTTCTGACATTAGTAACTTAGGGTTTACCTAGGAAGCGTGAGTGTCGAGAGTGAGCATGGCAAGAGAATTGGGCAAAGAGAGCATTCACTAAGGAATGTTTAGAAGATATAGGATAGGGGAGAGGATAGGGTACACCACCAGCAGTTGAACCTAATAACTAACTAATACACTAGCAAGCTGTAGGCAGTTAGGATATGCAATATAATTCAACAACAACCTACACTTAAAAAATTAGGCTGAAATTTCAGACAACTCATAAAAAAAACCTCTGAAAAATCAGACAAGGTACGTAAAAAAAATTCTTAGACTTCAGATTAGGTTAAAAAAAAAAGTCTCTGAACGGACTCTGAATCGGACTTTAAAGTCTGATATCTAGGGCCCTGCCCGGAGCGCGGGTTACCCGCCGAGCCGTGAGGTCGGGGTGCGATGTGCGAAGGTGGCGGGAGGATTGTCGATGCGAGGGTTGCGAGTGGTAACGGTGCTGACTGAGGTGCTACAGTGGTATACGCGCTGAGCGAGGTCGCGAAGTAAGGAAAAGGAATTTTACTTATATGATATCTTCAGATTACATGGTTTCACATAATAATACAATTTTCACTGGGGATTCAGAAAACGTCTCCTGCAAGAATCGAAACGTAAGCCTTGTCAAAATCTCTTATTTTCTAACCACTGCGCGAAACCGAGACGTGAAGACTAGCGTTGAAATGTTTTGTAAAATAAGAAACGTCGAAAAACTCACTTCTTTAGGGTTTGTTGTCTCTTTCTCTCCCCCCTCCAGTCGATTCTGTTTCCTCTCGCTGCTCGCGCTCCACCTACATCTCTCAAGGTCAGAACTAAGCTGTCAGCTAGAGATCACTTAGCTAACGCTTAGACTTAACTTCCTGTAATGTCGTATTCTACTCTTTTATTAATGTGTTCGTCGTTTTTAAGTTCTGCATGTTGTTAAAGATAGGTTCTAGGCTTTCAGTTAACGTCGTGATAGTCTCTAGGTCGTTGATAAGCCTGAATCCATTCTTGTTTATTCACTATGCCGTTTTCAAGCTTATTTCGACCTTGCAGTGTGTCGTTTTCATTCAAATAGTAAGTCGGATTTCAAGGCTGCAACCCTTTCTGCTACGTCGTTTTGAAGGGTTGCAGCCCAATGCGATGTAGATGCTAGTAACTATAAATGATACAACCATTGATCTACTACCTAGGTCATTTTGAAGCCGAAGATGATTGAATTTGATTTACTGCATCCGTTAATATCATGTACTAGTCTTTTGTACCTGTTATTTTGTTTCTATGATCCTCCACCTAACTGCAGGAAACGCTCAAGCACGTTGTTGTCTCAATTCCTCGTCTTATTAACGGTGAGAACATGTTGGAAGAAAGAGAGCGAGAGAGAGGGAGAGAACATAAGAGCAGCGGCACATGATATGGCAGGGTTTGGGGAGAGAGCGTGCAAGAGAACGAAAAATGAAGTTGCTGTTTTGTTTAAATCTAGGCCATATTAGAACCTAATCATTAAGGTCTTTTCTTTTGTATCCTTTCGACTATCGATCTCTTACCTCAATCCTCAATTCCTTCCAATTTTTATAGACTTTATTTTCTGTTCTTCATTCTTTCCCCTTTTGTAAGCCGTTTTCTGTACATGCACTTTCATTTCCTTTTTGTTCTTTGGTTCCTACTTCCATAGTGTCGATTTCTTCTACATCGTCTTTTTCATTCGCTCTCTCGCTCCTCCCTCCGTCGTTTTCTCTTGCATTCCTTCTTTATTTCTAATATATTCACTCCTTGTTTCAGTCCTTGTCATTCCTCGCCTCATGTTTATCGCATGCTTTCTTCCCTCCCTTGTTTCTTCTATTCTTCTTCGTTGAGCTGGTTTTTTTTTCCTCGTAATCGTAGAATAATTTTATTTCTCTGTTTTTTTTTTTGTGTGTGTGTTGGTTTGCCATTTTTTTCACTTGGTCAATCCGTGTATTTTGTTTCTGTTTGGTTACTATGTCCTTCAATTTCTCCTTTCTTTTGCCCTTTTGCCCCCTTCCTTTCCCCTCCTCCCTCTATCTCCCCCTTTTTAATATATCCTACCCTCCCAGAGGCTTTGTTGCTGTACCATTGGGAAGTCAAGACCAATATAGAAAGTAGAAGTATATATGTGATGACTTGTATGATTGATGGTACTGTATTGTTTTGGTAGATTTCTTTTGCCTTTTTAATCGACTAGTCTCAGTGTTTGCGCGTGCATATGTGTGCTGAGAAACTTAGAACGAGAATGGATTGACTAAGGAATGAAAGTGATACAAATATGAAACCCTAGAATTGTGTACCCCTTAGTATCTAACCCGCTACAGCCTACACAGGCTAGATCATATAAGTTTGACACACCCCCATAGGCAAAGTGGGGGAGAACAAGGGGTCACAAGACCAGTCAAGCAAAACAAGGCAAAGCAAGCTCAGGGTGGATCACAACGTCACCACACATTCTGAGCACAAGTTCAAGGCCACAAGGCCAGTTCACATGCATGAGTACACACATATATATAACGCTAAACAAGCAAGAGCAGGTATATATATATGTAACAGTACAAGCAAGGTCAGGAAGTGAGCAAGTGAGGCAAGGTAGGTACAAGACCTAACAGAGTACAGAAGCGCTGATGGTCACAAGGCGCAAGTGCCTTGGTGAAGATATCAGCAGTGTTGGCCTCAGAGGCCACGTAAGCAAGGCGCAGCTGACCACGCTGCTGAAGCTCACGAGCAAGAAAGTAGCGAAGAGCGATGTGCTTCGTTCTGTGCTCCAGTCTGTGCTCCAGTCTGTGCTCCCGACACAAGGCCAGCATAGCCTTGTTGTCTACGTACAGAACTGGAGGAGAACGAGGCGGCTCTCCTAGGTCAGTCAGCAGGTAGGTGAGCCAGCGTAGCTCCTGTGCAGCCATGGCCCCTGCGTAGATCTCAGCCTCACAACTGGAGCCGAGAACAGAAGACGAGCGGGTAGACCGCCACGAAACAGAGCCAGAACCAAGGCTGAAGGTGTAACCCTATGACGACCGCTGCGTAGCCTGGTCGTCAGCCCAAGAAGCGTCTGCGTGACCAGTGAGGACCACTGGACTCCACCCTCCAAGCACAAGCCCCATGCCCGACGTACTGCACAAATAGCGCAACACCCTCTTCGCTGCAGCCATGTGCTCTGGTCTGTGTCTCCCAGGAGCAACATAGCGTGCCAGAATGCTAAGAGGGTATGCAAGGTCAGGTCGAGTGCAGGTCATCAGGTACATGAGGCAGCCAACAAGCTCTGGGTACGGGCCACTCGACTCTACGGACTCATCCGAAGGCAGAGCTGAGAGCGAGTGGCGAGTAGACAGAGGAGTGGCCTGAGGCGAGGAGTACGTGAAGCCGAAGCGCTGAAGGACCTGCTGCACCATGTGTGACTGAGTCAGGGTAATGGTGTGCTGTGCTCTGTCCCGGGTGATCTGCAAGCCAAGGTAGCTGCGCAGTTCACCCAGGTCTGTGCACGTGTGTCTCTTCTGCAGCTCGGACTTCACGTGGGCGAGTCCAGCAGTGTCAGCTGTGGCAAAGACCAAGTCGTCGACGTACACGAGGATGTAGAACGGCGGCAAAGAGGTGTCGGTGCGCAGAAACAGCGACGGGTCGGCAGTAGAAGGAGCAAACCCAAGAGCCGCAAGTGTAGTCCTCAGTGTGTCGTGCCACTCACGAGGTGCCTGGCGGAGACCGTAGACTGGCCGCCGGAGGCTCCACTGGGTACCAGGAGGAAAAGACCCAGTGAAGCCAGGTGGGCGACGCAGCCAGATCTCCTCGTGCAGGCTGCCCTGCAAGAAAGCAGTGCTGAAGTCAAGAGAGTGAAGCTCGTAGTCACGGTGAGCAGCTATGTGCAGCAGTACCCGAAGAGTGGTCATCTTCGGGGTGGGAGAGAAGGTCTGAAAGTAGTCAACTCCCTGCCGCTGACTGAAGCCACGAGCCACGTAGCGCGCCTTGAAGACAGGCGGAGAACCCGGCGGCCGCTTCACCCTGAAAATTCACATGCCACTGACGATGTTCGCCCAAGGAGGGGGAACCTCGTCGACGTAGGTGCCTGTGGACTTCCTGGAAGCCATCTCTGCATCCATGGCTGCCTGCCACTGAGAGGAGTAGGGACCCTCTATCGCCTCCGCGTAAGAGCGCGGAGTCGGGATGTCTAGTGCATCCGGGTCTCCCTCAGGGGCAAGCAGCATGGACACAAGATGAGGTGAAGCAGC